GCCTGTGTTGTATGGGGACTGGGATCACCCTGAGGAACTGTTCTCTCTCCCCCCAAGTGGTTTTTCTGGCAGTATCCTATTGTGTATGGCTTCCTTAAGACGTGGGCAGTCCCTACCATGAACTCTGCCATCTCTTGCCTGAACCAGACCATTACAGTCCCTGGTTTCAAGGACTTATGGACAAGAGGTTAGTAGCCCACTTTAAAATGTATTTCCTCTTGTGCAGTCAAATTTGAGCAAACCCCTCAATGTTTGTAATGTGTATCTATTCACACAGCATACCGAAAAATAGAAATATGTCTTACCTTTTTAGATGTTTGGTGCAGCAAGCAACATGGCTGATTCCAGATTTTACTGGGCACATTCAAAGTGATCTTCCCTTATAGAAAGACTTGGCGCTGAAATTTAAGGATTGTGTTTCACTCATTAACTTAGCATACAATGGTGAAGCCCTTCATCCCTCAGTCCTTACTAGCATTACAAAAAAAGAGAAGCAAGTAGACTTTTTAACACTTAAGAAGCCATAAAACCCTAACTCAAATAAAAGCAGTTTAAACTGCAACAAGCATTTTTAAAATATTTTAGGTTATGCTACGTCAATGGAACATGTAACCAATATAAAATAGGTGTCATCCCAATTTGGCTGCAAAAGTGGAAATATATACTTTAAGGCCTTATTTGCCCTTGCAGGCCTGGTCATGCAGCCTGTAGTTGCTCCTATGGCATGTTGTCAGACCTTCTGGTCAAAGGCTGTGGCCAGGGACCCCGGATCTACTTTAACTGATCCTGAAGTTCGCCTCTTTGGGGAATCCCTGGAAACATACCTCCAAGATACCGTGGGAAAAAGCACCTCCTTGCCATAGAATGGGAAGCCTCTGACTCCGGTAGCTACTCCAGTATTGTTCATCTCCCTCCTTTTAGGAAAAGTTTATTTTGTCCTTCTCAAGCCTTGGGTTCTAAACAAACAGTGTGTGCAAGGCCCTGACCTCCATGGCAGGTAAGCCCTCTTTTGTAGGGAACGGGCATCTTCACTTTTACAGGTGGTGGGACGTCTTTCAGCTTAGTGGGGGTCCAAGACCTCCAAATCGACGTCAGCAATATTGTAAAATATTCAGCAGATGATACAGACCCTACAGAGCTTTGGATGGATTGTGAACCTCCAGAAATCAGTGCTAGAACTTTCCCATAGGTTGGCGTTCCTAGGTCTGGTCTTGACAAAGGAGAAATTGCACGGGACGATCCCTGGATCTTGCACCTCTATGGCCAGCAAGATGAAGTTTGCCCTGGAATCAGCAAAGTCCTTCCTTCTGATGTCCTGGAAGGTGCTCATAAAATATGCCAGCATTTCGGGCTTAGGTGTAATCCTGGTGTCACGGATCGGGACTCACGGTTATGAACTGGAGTCAGGTATGTGGACCCTTTCTACTACCCTGGCACGGACACTTAGAGAAAAGGGTCCAAGCAGTGTAGGCTGACGACTCCCAGAGCTGGACTACAAGCAGGGGAACTGAATGAGGCAATGGAAGACAGCTAAAGCTGGAAGTTCAAATACAAGGCAGGGTGCTGCAATGCTGAGTAGGTGGCATGGGGTCCATCAGGATGTGGAATCTAAGGGCCAGCCGGTATTCACCAGAGCTCTTGATGGTAGAGATGGGCTTGGCTGCATGCTGACCCCAGGTCACAATCCCTAGGTCAACCCAACTCACCTAACACGTACAGGGTATGAATCAAAGGTTAGGGACAGTCTGAAGACTAAGACTTCCAGGGACAAAGCAAAGCACAGGGCAGACTGTAGACAGGGATATCCAAGCACAAAGCAAAGCACAGGGCGGACTGTAGACGGGGATATCCAAGGACAAGCCAAAGGTTTGGTACACGGGAAAACTTCCAGGAATTCAGGGTCAATCGTAAATGGGGGGACCCGGCAACTAGCTTGGGAAAGCTTTGCTTGGGCCGCGTGCCATTTGCTGCCCTGAGTTTAAATAGAGACAGGAAGAGGGAGGAACCACAGGATTGGCCACATGCGGACTGCACTGATTGGCTGAGTAGCTGTGTAAGAAACATCAGGAGAGGTCGGCCGACGCCTAAAGCTGCCAGACTGGTGCAAGTGTGAGTCGGGTTCAGAGCACATGCCTGGAGGACTACAAGCACCAGCACAGCCTTGCGTGCCTGCAGAACCAGGGGCAAGAGGTATGTATATACTTGTAGAACTACAAGTAACAGCTCAGCTGTAAGTCTGCAGCTGAACTGTGACACCTGGAGGGCCTCTCCGTCCTGGGAACCTAGACATTTGCGCAATCATGGCTCCTGATAAACATGCTGGAGCTCACTGGACTCGGCAATTGCAGGGTCACCAGGGTTCATTTGGACAACACTATGTTCAACGCTTACATTAACCGTCGAGGAGGCACCAGAAGTTTTTTGGCTGCAAGAGAAGTCAGCCTTATTCTGGCTTGGGCCCTGTGTGCCAGGTTCAACAACAAACTGGACAGGTTTGCCTCCGGGACCAGTGATCCTCTAGACTTCCCATTTATCTTTTGTTTACTCAGACTGATCTATGCCTTCCCGTTTGCCTCGCCTCTTTTTTAGGATTGAGATTGAAAGTCCCCAGGATCTTGGTTTGCGGATGTAGTCAAATTTAATAGTGAATTTTCTGTGGGAGTCTCTGGACCCTCCAGGCCTTCTATCGCAACGACCTGTATTCCACCCTGCTTCTTGGTTTTAATGGCATGGGTGTTGAAGCCCAAGTCTTGAGGGACAAAAGCCTTTCAGACACTGTCATCTTTTTATGCTCCTCAGTGCTAAGCAGTCGACCTCCCACATGGTTGACCACCACCCCTGCAAAGCATACTTTTTGTATGGTGCAAGGCCAAGAAGTTCAATCCCAGGAAGTACTGCGTGGGAGGCATTTTAACCTTCAAGTCTGGCCTAAACCATTGTTGACTGTGAATACCACCATGAGCCAGATATCTGCCTTGATGATCCTCTTCCAGAGGCCATTTGCCTCTTATACATTGATGAATACTTTTGTGCAGGGACTGGCACACATTGTTCCCCCTGTTCATAATCTGGTGACTCTGTTGGACCTCAAACTGGTTCTCTCGGCCCTTCAGAAGCTGATTTCTAAAAACTGAAAAAATATATATTTCTTTGCCCTTATTTGCAAGGTGGCCTTCCTCATTTCCTTCATTTATGCTAGGTGTGTTTTGAGTTAGTATCTTGACATGCAAGGAGCCCTTTCTGCTCATCCATAAGGATAAAGTTCTGAGGCCTAAGGCCTTCTTCCACCCTAAGGTGGTCCCTGCCTGCCATCTTTACCAGGGCATTGTATAACCATTTTGTGTCCTGCTCCTAAATACCCTAAAGAAATTTCCCAATGCTGTCTAGACTTAGTTAAGCAGTCAGTTTACCTCTGCAATTTCTGCTATTCGGAAGTCTGACCCCTTGTTTCTTTCTGCAGGTCCCCATATGGGGCAACTGGCTTCTCGTTCTACTGTTGCTAGGTGGATTTGTCAAACTATCTCCTAGGCTTACCAAGGGAAAAGTTTTCTCCTTTCCGGTCAAGGCACATTCCACCAAAAATGTTTGTGCTTCTTAGGCTTTCTTCTGTGCACACTTTTGTCAAATTCTACAAGGTGGACATTCAGGCCTCCTGAGGATGTTCATTTTGCCTGGAAGGTCTTTCAGGCAGCCCTATAATCCTTAGGCATGCTTCTGTTCTAGTTCTCTGCTCCCTGTTGGGGTTGTTGTTTTTCTCTGGCCTGTTAGCCATTGTTTAATGTGTTTTCATCCAGCTCCCGGAAAACTGGGAAAAAAGCCCCAAATACCAATTAATTCCTGAGTTTCAATTTCTTGGGCCTATTAGCCATTATTTGATGTGTTTTCATACAGCTTCTGGGAAACTGGGAGAGGCCCAAAATATCTGGCGATTCTGCAGTTTCTTGTGAGTTTACCTAACACCACTTCCCTTAGGGATATCTAAGGCTGCATTGCTGATCATCCTTGTAAGGTGCTAGTTGCATGTCTGTATCTGGCCGCAATCCTCGGTCAAACCTGAAACTAGCAGTGGCTTTCAACTTTTAAAGCCAAAGCATTAGAATGACATTCAGGTAACTAATAATAATAAACTATAAACTGTTTATACGGGCTATATGTACGGGTAAAGGGTGGCGGACGTTTTTCAGATTGATTCCCTAGTAATAATAAGAAAAATGCTTGAAATGTTAGGTATAGTTGGATTTTAACCCCTACCCAAATACAGCTTGTATGTTAAACAATGTAACTCCAGGCATAAATAATTTTTTTGCCATATTAACTGTACATCTCACCATGTTCCCATTTAATATTATTATAATCCATGGTTGTACTCCTTTTCATCCCCACTGTTACGTGGTGAGCCTGCCGAGTTCTCCACATCACTTCCTGCAGAGGGCTGTCAACACTCCAGAAGTTTCATCCTCTTCAAAGCGCTAATCTATGTAAATTCTGTAATTCCCTCTTTACAAATTACCCCAATCTTTACAAATTGGGGTAATTTCATGAAACGTTTCTTTTTCTTTCTGTGAGCTAAAACCATCTGCTTCTGACCATGTTATGAGAGATGGCGTATACCAGAAACAAAGTCTTATACCTTGGTTCCCTGCATTTGTGATAAAGCAACATATTCTGTTACAATTTAACAAAAATATAAAAAGAAAAAAATTTAATTTTTAATTACACAAGCAAAGTATTTATGAAAACAGTTTACCAAAACAAAAGCCTTATATGATGTTTTACAATGTAATAACTATTTTCGTAGGCAAATTAGTCGGTTATTGCTGGAAAATCTTTTCTGGTTATCTAAGCTTTAATGGTCATTGCAGATTGGATACCTGGCTCTTGGTTGTACTATAGTTGTGGTGTTGCATAGTTATGTGCTACATGTATCACACGTACCAAACACTTTTGTCACTCCCTTTTGCTTTTCACTCTTACAACATAATTTGTTTTTCTTCTTGTAGGATGCAAACGCTACCTGGTATACAGAAAACCCTGATTTCACAAAGTGCTTCCAGAATACAGTCCTGGTATGGATTCCATGCATCTACCTCTGGCTCTGCTTCCCTATATACTTTATATACCTCCAGCACAACAACCAGGGATACATCCGAATGTCACATCTTAATAAGGCAAAAACTGTAAGTGTCAACTTTATAATCGCATAGGTATTGATACCTGTTAAGCTACTACAAAAACTCACCTTTTATATCAGTTGCAGCACTACCCGTTAAGCACTTTGCACTTGGGAACTCTCATAATAAGTGCATAATAAAGAAATTACGGTAACTTTTATGCACACACAAGTGAAAGTGCTTATTTTTATTGAAAGAAGGTTTTTGAAACCTAGCACAGATGAGCTCTGCAACACATTTTTGCATGCATTTTGTTACATTTCTTTAGTAAAAATCCCAAATAAGCGGTTATTATTTAGTCTGTGTGATGGTCTTTAAACTATGGTGTATATACTGTATATTTAAAATGCATTAAGCCCCAAAATGATGCCTTTTGGGAACGTAGACACCCCAGGGTATTTAGTAGGCGGCATGTTGAGTATTTTAAAGTTCTATTTTATTTTTTTTCATTCATTGCAATTTTAATAAGGTAATTCTCACACACAGCTTGTGTATACTTAGAATGTCCCACAAACATTCTGCTACTCCTCCCGAGTATAGGGATACCACATATATGAAACTTTATCTCAGCCTAGCTGCAAAGAGTGGCTCAAAAGGATCGATTTTAGAATCGCCTTAGAAGAATGGGTTATATACAGGAAGAGCTGTGGCCAGAGCTGTGAGGACCCTTGTATAACCCCTCCTACTCCAGAAAATGCACGGTTTATTTGCTAGTGTCCTTAGGTGGTGGAGATCTCCTCTTTACTGTGGGAAGTGTGATAGTTTAGTTACCTATTTTCTGCATTTCTTCAATCAAGATATTTCTTTTCCCATAACTCCGGAACAGATTTGTAAGGCGGCAACATGGTCAAGTTTCTCCACCTTCGCAAAGCATTATCGCCTAGATCTCAATACCGCAGGGGATCAGGCATTCGGCAGGAAGGTACTACAAGCGGTGGTCCCGCCCTAATTGGTAAGTTCTTGGTTATCCTCTCGTGATGCTGTCCTGGAAGACGTTATGGGAAATTCAGAGTTAGGACTTACCGGTAACTCTATTTCCATTAGTCTTCCAGGACAGCAACTGCCCGCCCATTGATGCTTGTAGTATTAATGTGATGTGGTGGTATTGCCTGTATGTGCCTTGTCTTTTTCCAGCTTGCCTTCGGTTCTCGTGATGACTGAGGGAGTGGAGGAGAGGAGGGTCTTTTAAGCAAATTAAGTGACGTGTTTCCTGTGTGTGGGGGAGGAGATTCCATCTCGTGATGCTGTCCTGGAAGACTAATGGAAATAGAGTTACTGGTAAGTCCTAACTCTGAATTTCAGACATCTCGATCCTGCATTAGGCGCCCACCTTGGCAAGTGGTGCAGCGTTTTGGGTCACCTACAGGGTGTTTTTACAGGTCCAGGGCAGTGGTGTTTATATTTTGATAGAGGCCAAAATAATGTCTGCATTGCTAGGGACAACAGAGGTCAGCGAGGCTTTTGTTCTGGTATTGTGTGTACTCGTTGGGGCCCCTCACTATGGTAGACTTTACATGAAAAGGGCCAGGTGGACAAGGAATAGCCAACAATATTGCCGATAATGGCACAGATGGTTACTTTGAGGTTTGCCCCGGGGACTCTGCTACAGATTGAATGTGTGTTGGCCAACAGTCCAGCCTGTGATCATATAGTGCACTGTAAAATTATATGGAAATGGCAAACTCAATTTAGTGATCTCTCACTATACCCAGTGATGCATATAAAAACAAGCCAAAAAAATATTGGAAAAAAATAAAAATGCACAATTTCCACAACCTAATGTGTCTCTTCCAAAATAGTGCAATTTCTTCATATATCTAATTATACAACATATTTAAACATGTGTAATAGTGTCCATCTAATCAATCCACCAGTGATAGTCTTTCATGTGAATGAAACCACTCTACAGGTTAATCAGCGCTTTTTATACACATAATCCTCCCACTGTGCTCACAGATTCCCATGACAATCTGACAAGCAACGAGTCAAAGTGCGAAATCCTTGTTGAACCGGTACACCTTGGTGTGTATATATATAATGCACTTTATTGGTTCTCATCGACCCCTCCTCTATGCATCCTCGCTCCTCAGGGCTTGTTCACACCAAGCACGTTCCAGGAGCAGAGCAGTTACAGGCTGGATCAAAACTGCGTCCAATGTATTCCAATGGTATTTTGGGCTCTAGTTCACAGCGCAGCGTTCAGTTCCAGAGCATGTAAAAAAAACTACAGCAAGCCCTATTTTTCCTGCTCTGGAGCGCATGCAAACGCATCAAAAACTCACCGCACTGAAAGCCCATTTTAAACGGCCTGGAAGGCATCAAAAACGTGGTATAACACACTGCACTGCGTGTGCAGTAACTCATGCAGATCTGGTCTGCATTTGGTGTGAACAAGCCCTTAATCAATCATTTCGTGATTCATTGCTATCATGAAATGGAACAAAACCACTCATGGCGTAGAAGTAGAAAAAAAAAAGTATCTTTTATTAAAAAACAACAATCTACTCACATTCAATGAATTGAAACAATAAGTGGATTTTCCGTTACTGTGTTAATCTAGCCATGATTCACAACTATTTTTGGTGCAAAGGTAAATGTATTTTGCAAGCATGTTCTCAGATCCGGAGTGCATAACTTTATATTTTTCTAGATTAACACTCATCTGCCAAGTTGCTGCCCACACCTCAATTTTATTGAGGTCTTGTTGCAAATTTACTCAGCCTCCTGTGACAGCTGCCAGGAAAGAGAGCCAGTGCAAACACTCAGCGATCAGTGAATGTTTGTAAATAATTAAAGGACACGTTGACTATATCCTCATTTATGAATGAATGGGAAGCGATCTACATCACTTCCTGTTAATTCATGATTGTGGTTATAGTGAACAGGAACACTTTAAAGTTACACCATAAAAAAGAAAAACAAAATTTTTTTTAAAGTCCCCACCTATACATACACGCATGCAAACATGCGTCTGGGGCGCAAAAAAGACGATTGCGCCCATTACACCGCACTTGTTACATATCGCCGCGAACATCGCAGTGAGAGCAATAAGTCTAGGGCCATCAATCACTGATAACACTAAACTGATGAGCGGTAAAAGCTTTTAAAGCGTCGCCCATGGCCAATTTTGGGTATGGTAGTTTTCTGCGATTTCGCGGGTGCATGCAATTTTAAAGCTTGACATGCTTGGTGTCTATTTACCCGATGTGACCTGATCTTTTATATTTTACCAAAAAACTGGGTAATAATAAATGATACCTAACATAATGTAAAAAAAAACCTTTTTTTTCTGCAATTTTTCCTAATTATAGTAAAAAATTAAAACCCCAGTGGTGTTTAAATACCACCAAAAGAAAGCCCTATCTGTCCCCAAAAAATGGTATAAAATTTATTTCGGTACAGCGTTGCATGACGGAATAAACGTCAGTCAAAGTACCGCAGCGCTGAATACTGAAAAATGGCCTGGCCAGGAAGGGGGTCTAAACACCTGGTCTTGAAGTGGTTAAAAGGCAAATATCAGGGGGGCCGTTTAGACCCCTAATAGTTATAAAATTTAAAAAGCTTATAAAAAGAAAAAATAAAATAATTTTTTTTTAAATTGAAAAAAAGTTAATAAAAAATATTTTCGGTTTGACCTTTTTTTTTATTTCGGTTTGGTTTATGAAATTTTCAGTTTGGTGAACCTCTACTATTAACAAAAATGAGACTTGGACTATAATCTCATGTTTAGTTTACTCACTTGTATTGCATGTGAGGAATAGTACAACAGTCGTACTTCCGTGTTTGGTATGGCGCAAGATAGACTCGCCCCTACGCGTTTCGTCGTCGCAACATCTTAAGGGGGGTATGCAGGTCTATCACTCCATACCAAATCCAATCCTTTCTTTTTTCATAGGTTTATATTCACATCACGGATATTTGATTTATATACGGTAGATTAGATGGTGCATACACCTAAATAGGTCATCACAGATATAGATCCATTCCTCCTTGATTGAACTAATAGCGCTGTATATTTGGTAAAACATTCAGTTGGACCTAGTTGTCTATAGTGCAGCAGCTTTCCATTTACATCTTAGATCATTCATTAAGCACAGATTCAAAACTAAAAACAATAACTTTTCAGCATGTCTTTCGAGTGTGGGAAGAAACCCACGCAAGCACAGGGAGAACATGCAAACTCCTTGCAGAATTTTTCCTGTGTCGTACAAAAATCATATTTATTGACTGTGGAGTAATAAGAGCTACCTTTTTTTTTTCTTTTCTGCAGGCTTTAGGGTTCTTATTATGGCTGGTCTGCTGGGCAGATCTATTCTATTCTTTCTGGGAAAGGAGTCAAAGTATATATCGCGCTCCAGTTTTTGTTGTGGGCCCCACTGTGCTGGGAATAACAATGGTAAGTGGTTTCTTCCAGGGATGTAATAAAATGTGTGAACCTTTCGGTTTATTAATGTTTTCTTCATGTCCAGATCAGCTAACAATTTTTAAAAGGATTTTTCATTCAAGATGAACTCCAGGCAGAGTACTTTATAACATATCTGCCATGTAAACAGGCATTTTGTGAATGAACGAGGGAAGAGGATGGACGGATAAATTACACTAGAGTGAGCCACAACTCTCGCAGCAGCAGGCATGAAGTACAGCGTTATCTGTACTATCCTGCCTAAAATAAAAGTTTGAATTTTACTTTTCAGAGTAAGGACCTGGACCTGGGATAAACATAGCAGAAATGTTAAATGCTCTGCCTGGGATCTTGCTTTTGATCAAAAGGTAGTTTTTTTTTTTTTTTTTCTTGTTTCCAGCCTCATTTACTTAGCTGCTATACACTGTCATGACAACTAATGACGGCATGTATTGTAACAGTACATATACAGTATGTATTGATATGCAGGGCTTGAAAGATTTGTGTCTCCCCAGTCAGTCAAAGAATTCACCAGCCAGCATGACCGAACTATAGCCTTGCAATTTATGTTAACGGTTTGTTGGGACGGATGGAGTTTTCTTTTGGTGGTATAATAATCACCACTGGGGGGGTTTATTTTTTACTATATAATTCAAAAAGTACCGTAAATTTTGAAAAATGTTTTCATGTAAAAAAAAAAAACATTTATTCATACCCATATTTTTGGTAAAATATAAAAGACGGGGTCACGTTGGGTAAATAGACACCAAACATGTCATGCCTTTAAAATTGTGCGCGCTCGCAAAAAGCGACCGCACCAAAAATTGGCCATAAGCACCGCTTTTAAACGCTTCTACTGCTCATCAGTTTAGTGTTATCAGTGATTAATGTCTCTAAAATTATTGCTCACACTCTTGACGTTCGTGGTGATATGTAACGTGTGCAGAACAATAGGCGGAATCGTTGTCGCACGTAGACGCACCCGACGCATGTTTGCGTGTGCATGTGGGGGGCCGGGGACTTAATTTTTTTTCATGCTTTAATTACTCCTTTTTTTTTTTCTTTACACTTAGCAATAAAGTTATCACATAGGAGACTGAGAAACTCCCTACCGTGTTTCCCCGAAAGTAAGACCTACCCCGAAAATAAGACCTAGCACTATCTTCAGGGATTTTCGCAGCTCCCGCCCCGCCCACACGTCAGCCGGCCGCAGCTCCCGCCCACACGCCCGCAGCTCCCGCACGCACAATGGAAGCGACATCCGCCGGGACCGGCAACAGCATGCCGCCTTCCGGGACCTCGTCCATTCCTCCCCCAGCCAGGTAAGACATCCCCCGAAAATAAGACCTAGTGTCTTATTTCGTGGAAAAAAAAATAAATAAGACACTGTCTTATTTTCGGGGAAACACGGTACGTGATAGCCAATTTACATGACGGGTCCTCTCGATAGAGACATCAGGGGTCTCCAAGACCCTAATGTCACCTTGGGACCCCCAGAGAAGCTGATGAAACAGGTCTGCTTCACCTCCTTCTCCCCAGCTTTTGTAGCTGCATTCGTGGACCGCAGAGGAGATCAGGGGGAGATCGTGCACCGAACTCCCTCTGATCTCCTGTCACAGAGCAGCCGTGCTGCACCCAGCTGCACCGGGCTGAGCGAATCTCAGGACCGGCAATGGCAGTGACAGCGGCGGTGGCATCTGCGGAGGGGGTAAAATTGCAGACGATACAAACGATCGGGTGTCTCTAGAGACGCCCAATCGCTTGAATGTAATCCGCCATCCAAGAACCTGCCGGCCTGCCGTTTAATTACAATGGCTGGCCGGCAAGCTACTTGTCCGGCTCCGGCGTCCTCTCGTCACGGACGAGAGGATGAGTGGATTTTTCAAGCCCTGTTGAGTTGTAATGTACGAGTTAGAAAGGTAACAATACTGTCAATATTGCTGGCCCAGCTAGGGTGTTGGGGCAAACCTTCAGGATGCGATGACTTGGTTACATGATATACATAGTTATATACAGGGCTATTCACTAGAGGGTGATCAGTTTGGAGAAGGCAGGAGAAGGGAACAATCTAGGACAACATAGCTGAACTGCAAAGGGAGCCGAATTGGAGAATTTTTCCAAATCAGCTATGTTGTCCTAGATTGTTCACTTCTCCTGCCTGCTCCAAACTCATTACCCTTTTTTGAATAGCCCTAAGACCCCATTCACACTGAGCTACATCCAAAAAAGCGCTTTTTTCAGAGCGATTTTGAGCTGAGCTACAGTGCACATTTTTTTGCGCTATGTAGCGCGACTTTTCGCAGGAACTTCGTAGCTGCTATATTGGGCTGAAACCAATCAAAAGCGGTCTTGATGTGACATCATTCCTTGCTTCTTATATTTCTGTGCAAAAGTGACACTTCTGTAGCACGACGTAGTGCGACAATGAGCTACACCATTAAAGTCTATTGGGCCAAATCGCACAAAATTCGCTGAAAAAGGTCAAGCTACAAGCTTGAGCTACAGGCGACATTGAGCTGTGAGATGTGAACAGCTCCATTGAAATGCATTGGACAAGCTACATTGAGCGGCATTGAGCTGATATTTTGAGTGATTTTTGGAGCTGAAATCACGCAATAAATTGCTCATTGTGAACGGGGTCTAATGGCATTTGAGGTTGAATAAAGACACCGATCCATCAAGTTTAGCGTGCTAGTCATTAAGAGTACCTGTACCCATGTATGTTTTGTTCTCTGAGGAACGCAACTAAACAGTTCTTGAGCGATTCAATACTTTCTGCTGATACCACTGCTTGTGAAAGAGTTTCTTTAGCCATTTTTAAAATAAGTGTCTTTTTTTTTTTTTTTTTTATTCCATGATCTTCCCAGTGCTTCTTTAGCAATGATTTAGAACACATAATTGTATAGTCCTCTTCACTGTATATTTTCTTTCTATTTTTCAGCTTCTAGCTACTTTTTTAATTCAGTATGAGAGAATTAAAGGAGTGCAGTCTTCAGGTGTAATGTTGAATTTCTGGATCATTGCTCTGCTTTGTGCCATAATAATCTTCAGGTCCAAAGTTCTCCATGCCTTAAAACAAGTAAGTATCTGTTTCACATTAATTGACATTTTGAATAGACTGTTAGTAAATAACATTAAGAGCCGATTCACTCTACCAGTCTTTTCCTTTCAGCTGCTTTGTGGTACTTACAACTGCTGGCACCCAAGCACAGCCACCTTTTGTGTTTGATATTTTGGCAAAACAAGTAATGTTTCTGCCTCAACACGCATCCCACTATTTAACAAAATAGGTTGGGGTTGATTTCAATCTTAGGAGAGCTTTTAGGGGTTCACATGCATGGTTAGCAGTCTTGATTGCCTGTCAGATGAAGTGTGCTTTTCTGCGGCTTTGATTGGATTTAAATGTTTATATGAATAGCTTATGATGTGAGCTGATAGATTACTTTGGGAGAAAGGCAACAAATGCAAATAAATGCCTTTTGTTAACAAGCACTTAAGCTGCTATTATTTGTACAGTTTAACTTACCCACTATATTTACATTGTGGTTAGGAATGATAGGGCACAGTAATGGCAGTGACGATTATTAAGTGCTATTATGCATACAGAAGTATTAACTACATCGCTGCCAAGCCCTCATACTTTTAACCTCAGCTGGCCACACCATTTTTGCAATTTTTCCCATTGTTTTGATTTTCTACTGCTGCGTTACTAGTGTTTGTAAAAAACAAAACAAACCTAAAAACCCCCAAACCATATATTTTCTGAAAGGACAGGGCTGGTAGAATAAAAAGATGGTGCTGCTAATATTGTAGGTCCTGCGATAATTGCACTAATGTTTATCAAATCCATATGAAACATAATTTAAAAATACACAATTCAATTGATAAAAGCACACTAAAAGTAGTATCAGCGCACAAAAATACTTTTCTGACTAAATCTAAAAGATTAAACTGTTTTGAGGTAACAAATATTTGTAAATCTTGAAATGCGCCTTTTTGTGAAACGGTAAAAAAATGAAGTAATACAAAAGTGTAAATAAGCGACTTATGTTAATAATTGTTTGTGTGCTTTGCTGGTGTATGTGTTGTGATAAAATGATACAGGCGTACATTTAATCGCAACACAGCGCATCACATCCGGAATTTTCTTTAATAGCTCATCAGCGTCTTGTCAGCCGCTGATGAGAGCTTTTATTTTAAAGTGGACCGTTGGGGGAACCGTTTTGATATGTTCATGGTCGCTAAAGCGACCATGAGCTTATAGCAGAAGGGAGAAAGCCATGGCGTATGGCATACCGAGCTGGCCAGCTGGAAACAGTTGTGTTCCGCCATATGTCAGTGGCAGGGAAAGGGTTAACGAATGTGTAAACCCAATCACTAAAATCTCATAGAAGCGTTAACATGCTAATATTGTAAAAGTAATGTTTTAATATTTTAAAATCTCCAACTTGTATTAAAATAAGACCTAGTGGTTCTGCCAAAAAGATCCTTGTTCTGACACCTAGTATGAGTTGACAACACGCTCTGTCTTTTATCTTTCAATTCCTGCATTGCAACTTTGTCACACCGTCTTCTCTATGGAGGCTACAGATGGTCATTTCCACATGGATTAGGCGACAATGGTTTATTGTTGGAAGTTGCCCTTAGAAATGCCATGCAGCCATCACTGGAATGCATGCATGCAGACAGATGGTAACTGCTAGAGATTAGCAGTGCTGAGAGTTTAATTTTCTTAATTTAATTTTTAGTTTAATTTTCTTACAAATTCTTGTACATTGCAAGAATTTTTAACAACTAGGTTGCAATTTCCTACATGTTTCTGTTCTGAAGAAAAAGCTTTTTGTTGCAGCATGTGCTTTCCAAGCTGATTCCTGAATAAGAGGGTCTGTGTTCCTTAGAATCAGCTGGTGGGCTTCCTGGGTTATAATAGGGAAAGTTGCTGTGTCTGCATCCCTTTTAGTACAATTAAGGGAGTATCTTGCGAAAAATGAAATTTTCTATTCCAAGGTTGCCAAAATTTGGACTTGCATCTTAGTGCAGACTTCTGGGAAAGTGAGTCACCCAATCATAGAAGCAGGAAGTGACATTTCTACAGGTGTACCAACCTTTCTGTTGGTGTACCGAACGCCCTTAGGTCACCACGATGCATTAAAACATTACAGCGGCTGCAGTTTTAAATGGAAAGGTAATTTTTAATAACCTTAAATTACAAAATGGCTTGGGCAACAATTTTTATATGCTATATTTTTTGACAGATTTTTTTTCTTCTTTATCTCGTGGATTTACATAGTTACATAGTGTTTGGGGTTGAATAAACACATACGTCCATCAAGTCCAACCCATATAGGTCCATGCATCATCTCATTCTTAGGGATACTGGTATCCCTGGATATTACGGTCCCTCAAGAAATTGTCCAAACATTTCTTGAACAAATCTACACTCTTGGCTGAAATCACTGCCGATGGCAGTGAGTTCCAGACCTTAACCGCTCTTACTGTAAAGAACCCTCTTCGCCCATTGTTCTGGAATTTTTTTCTCCACCAACTTTAGGTGGGGAACTCTAGTCTTTGTAAAGGAGTTAATCTCAAACAGTTTGTTGCCAATGTTGCTGTCACCATTGAGCATCTTGTACATGAATATCGTATCCCCCCCTTAATCTCCTTTAATTCCAGCGTAAACATGTTTAAGGTCAGAAGCCTTGTCTCATAGCTCCGGTCCTCCATTCCCCTAATTAGTTTGGTTGCCCTCCGCTGGACTCTCTCCAGTTCAAGGACATCCCTTCTCAGTACCGGCGACCAAAACTGGACCGCGTACTCGTACGTCGAACCCGTTTCCCTCCTGAGTGTATACTGAGGAGCAAAAATTGTTCAGCGCCTCGGCCCTCTCCTCGGCCCTTTTTTAGTTACTGTGTTGTTGACAATATTTTACTAAATAGGAATACAGACAGAAATAAAAATGCTTTTCTTTAGTATAGCAGGGAAAGTCTAAGACCCCTGTCCGATTTTACTTTCGGTACGTGTCCTTATAGGCAGGTCATTTGCAAGGACATTTTCCCCATAGCTTGGTGAATGTGGTGGGTTTACTTTGCAAAGATAACCCAGATCGAAAGTGAAAATTTGTATAGGAGCAGCGTAAACAGGAAGCTTTTTACAGAGCATTGACAGAGCTTCCTGCAAGCTTTGTTTAAGCATTTAGGGCCCGTTCACACCACACACAGTGCTTTCCGGCCTGATTTCTGGCCGGAATGCACTGGATCGCATTGCGGCCGGCTCAGTTTGTTGTGGGGCGGGAGGGGGCCATTGAAGTGCAATCCGATCGGCCGCAAGGCACGTCAATGCCTGCGGTCCAGTGAAGTCAGAAAAAATACCATTACTAAACTACTAATTTGGTAATGGTAAACACAGATTGTAACCTTTGCATGACTGAGCTTGTTTTTAGTTTGTTTGTTAATGACGTCAATAATATACGTCAATAATATACTTTCTTACTAAGTGCACCCACACATATTCTATATTGTTTTTTTAGAGGACAGATAGGGCTATATATTTATAAAACATATGCGTGCCTAGCGCCTCACTTAGGACAAATAAAATATAACAAAATGAGGAAAAAACTTAAAACACTTTTTTTCCCAAGTTTTGATTATTAATATTTTTTTAGAAAAATAGCACAGCTAACAAAATGCATGAAATAAATTCATTTATTTGTCCTTTTATTTGGAAACCCCTCACATCCCTTAGGATTTCAGAAACATTTCTGTACTTCTCAGCCTAAAACTAAAACCTAACATTTTAGTTTTTTTCTTCTAAAAGCTAGTGGTGGTCACCTGGCATACAACATACTTTGAACATCACTGTCATGAGGGGGTTAAATTAAACAAAATTAACCCCTTAGGGTGAAAAACAAATCTACAGCTGCAGATTTTCATTCTAAGGGGTTTATTAGTATAA